TTTGGGTTAGTTTATGTGGCTTAGGAAGGGGGTTAAGCTAAAGCAAAAAAAAGCCACTCTGACTCTGGAATAAGAGTGTCCACATGGACAGTTATGCTGGCATAAATGGAGAAATTCTCCTGTGTAGACAAGGCTTTCATCTGCCTTGTCTGTGAGCTCATCAAGGCACAGGCTAACTTTTAGGCCTTGTCTACATGGGAACACATCACCAGTTATACGCATATCAGTGTTTCATTTTTTTCTTGATCCTGAGACCATTGAAGCCAATGACAATTAGGATACTGGATTCCCTCACTGCAAGTGTTCCCAACCTGACTTTATTGATGCTTAATTTGCTGCTGTTCTGATTTTTTTTTCATTCTCCTTTACTGCCTCTCTAAATAAGCAGTTACACAAGGGATCTAAAAAAGCACAGTTTAGGGCTGGGCATCTTTTCTATTTCCTGTAGTGTTAATTTTGGTCTCCCGTCAGTACTTCTCATTGTCACATTGTTGTGCCATTTCAGCTGCGGGCCATAAATATGGCTCTCACGTTCCAGGATCTTTCTGGGCCTGTGTGCTGAGGTAGCACTGAGATAGTACTTTGTCATGCTGTCTGTGGGACAATCCGATAAAGGCAGCTGATCCAATGCCCACGGGAGTCAATGGCAGTCTTTCTACTGACTTTGTCTGGCTTTGGGTCAGGCCCAAAACATGTTGTCCCAGAGATGACTCACTACTGTATTACCCATCACTCCCTGCCCTCCCACAAAAAAGGAAGAACGTGGACACACTGATCCCCTTGCGTCCTGTACTTTGCATTCTCTTCCACTGAAGGAGATAATCCTTTCTCGGCCAAGTTTGTTAGCACTGCCTTCCAAGAACTTCCCTGTGCTATCCCTCTGGATCAGCGACCTCCAAGAAGCGGAGTCCCTGGGGAAGGCAGGCTACAGCACTAGAGCACTCAATTGGAGCCTGTGTCTGGATTACTTTACAGCAAATCTGCTATTATAAAGAGCACCACCACCCCTCAGAGGCACAACCGCTGCCTTGTCCATCCAGCTAATTACAGGAAATCGGGAAGAATTGCTGTGTAATTACTCATGGGATATGGTCTCCCTACTGGCAGCACAATGCTGATCCTGCATTCGTTAGTCCACCAACCCCCTCTGTTGGTTTCAAAGTGTGTGTGGGGTGACCAGAATAAGGGTCATAGGACTGGGTCTCATGTGTGTGCTTCTGTCAGTTCCACATATTCTGGCGTTTCCAGCACAGTTTCTGGTTTTTCTGACCGGCGATAGAAGTGGCAGGGAAATGGAAAATCTTTTCTGCAAACATTGTGAATTTTCCTTGCTCCCCCATTTTTCCTCAAAATCTTCCCACTAGTGCTTTGCTTCGGGCCCTGATCCTGGGAGTTTCGGACTCCCACAGCACACATTGACTTCAGTGATGGTTGTGGGCACTTGGCATCAGGCTCATAGTTTCTGTTATAATGGGGCACTAGCTCCACCATAGCTGAGAATGGCTTACGGTTTAACAGCTGACTCTACTACTTGCTCTAAACCCCACAGGCTGACTCAGATTGCCTTGACATGTGCTGTGCCTCAATAGAGTTCATTCTAGGGTCCATACTTGGGTCATTGGAACAAGGGGGTCCTGAGACACCCCCCAAAAAATCACATCCACATTTTAGTTATGTCTTATTCTGCACAATAAGCTCAAACTATTGCACTCATCCACCCCAATTTTAGTCAGCTGGTGTCCAGCACTCACTGCCCCTCTGGGGAAGCAATACAGGCATTAGCACCTCTGCTTACAGAGCACTTCTGAGCAGAGATGCAAACTACATGGAAGCTATGGGGAACACTCTCAGCTCTTTGTACCCAAGAACCATGAGTCTGAATTTGTTCCTTTGCATGCTGTGCACAACCTGCCTTTGCTTGGAGACGGGGGCCACAATGGGGCTCTCCTTGGAAGTGCGAGTGGTGTTCATTATTTTGAGGGAGATCAGCCCCCCACAACTGTACCTTCAATTCCATCTACCTGTCTATGAAAGTCCTGCCCTGGGCTCATGTGGGCAGCAGTATGTGGCGTATGAAGCATGGTATGATGTGTGGGGCTGGGCTGATCAGGGAGAGACTAGGTGCCACATAAAAATGACATCAGCAGGCTGGTGCAAGAATCCCAGCCAGGATGAATCAGTTCTCTACTGGTAGAGCTCTTACTAGATAGCTTTCAGCATGATGGACTAGAATTTTGCAGGCCCCTGGAACGGGTCTGCTGGATGCACACACCACGGACACAGCATTGCAGGAGGGTGGGGGGAAGGAATATAGAGAACAGGCATACTCAGTGTGTGGGACAGGCCCTTAGGATTTATCTACACTGGGGAAACTAATTCGAATTAAAGTAAGGTATGAACTTAAAGGATATGTCCACACTACCCGCCGGATAGCGATTGATCTATCGGGGATCGATTTATCGCATCTCATCTAGACACGATAAATCGATCCCCGAACGCGCTCCCTGTCGACTCCGGAACTCCACCAGGACAAGAGGCGGAAGCGGAGTCGACGGGGGAGCCGCGGCCCTTGATCCCGCGCCATGAGGACGGGAGGTAAGTCAATCTAAGATACGTCGACTTCAGCTACACTATTCTTGTAGCTGAAGTTGCGTATCTTAGATCGATCCCCCCCCCCCAGTGTAGACCAGGCCAAAGTGCAAGATCTATTTCGGAATAAATCCATGTGTAGACAAACCGTAAGGCAGGGAGACAGGGATGAGAACATCCATTAAAATGAATGGAGCAGTTCACAGCTTAGAACTATTTTCAGGCTTCATTCAGTGCATGAAGAGTACTCTTTTAACTGAGAACATCCTTTGAGATGAATGGGGCCATTTTACACCTCTGCTTCCAAACCTGCAGGTAGATGTGCAGATCCCCTTCCCCATACAAGGCCCAGATCTGGGGTAGGAACTCTGGATCACCTCTCTCCTCCATCTTGATGCCACCAGCTCTTATGTGCAATGCCATGGCCCCTCCAATCTTACCAGGGTCAGGGAGGGCCCAGGGAGAGATGGGATTTGGTAGCTGAGTGATGGAGGCGGGTGCCCAGAGGCACAAAAGGAGCTTAGCAGTGTTTGTGAAGCAAATTCAGCATAATTTGATCAAATGTTTCCTGAGATGCACCCCCACTATGAGATGCTCCTAATTATCAGAATGCTCTAGAGCCCATGTGTGCAGCTATACTGGCATAATAATAATAATATATGGAGATATACCTATCTCATAGAACTGGAAGGGACCTTGAAAGGTCATTGAGTCCAGTCCCCTTCCTTCACTAGGCAGGACCAAGTACTGTCCCTGACAGTTGTTTCTTTTGCCCCAGATGGCCCCCTCAAGGATTGAACTCATAACCCTGGGTTTAGCAGGCCAATGCTCAAACCACTGAGCACTGATTGCAACAGAGTCTGGGATTTGTGGTAAAAAATTGGGGCCAGTGGAAGGGGGATCCCAATCTATAGCCCCCACAAAATGAGGTTTTAATTTTCAAAATGCTCGAACATCCATGTGCATAGGACAGTTATCTTGAATATTGGTACGGCACAATAGGAGCCAGGGTATACATTATGGTGCAAATTTGGTCAAAGGGTTCCTCAGATACAGCCCCCACCCCACTAAGGACCTCATTTTAATATATTAAAATTACTCTAAAATCCACAGGCAGGGGAGTGAGGTGGCAGCCTTGAAAATTGGCATTCTGCAACAGGGCATAGGATCATAGGAGATGGGGGAGAGGACCCATTGAGATGAATGGGGTGGTTCATGCCTCCCACAGCTGATGTGTCATTTCCATGGATGAATGGGGAGGTTCAAGCCTCTGCAATCCTCCTGTGCTGCGGAGTGCTGTGCAGAGCCTCTTCCCCCTCTGTTAGTCCCTGAAGTGGAATATGGAGTCTTGGGCTTCCCTCCCCTTTTCTGCCTCCAGCTGGTACTTGTGCTCCTGCAGCTACCGCTTTCCCTTCTCCCCATAGCCCCTCCAGCTGATGTAGACATTAGCCACACCAAGGATATGGATCCTCCTTTTAGAGGGTGATGTGTAAGTTTCCATGTGTGGTCATCTCACTGATGATGTGCAGGAAAACGGGGGCTGGGGTAAACAAGGGGAGGCCAGCTACTGAGAGCAAAAGCAACACTACACACACAAAAAATATTTGTTTCTTTGTTCATCAGCAACACACACAACAACCCACTCCACAATATACACACCTCGCTGCATTATCCTGTACTTCCACAATACACACACAACCCACCCCACAATACACACCCACTCCAAAACCCTGTGTGCCCACAACACCCCCCACTCCAAAACTACTACTCCCACATACATAAACCACCCCAGAATACACACACAACATACCACAACCCTAACCCATCGCCCACCCCTCCAGAACTCTACACACCACAAAAACACATACGCACCAGGCCAAAGCCCTTCATCCCCTTCACACACACCCCATCACACAGGCGTCATCACAATACACACACACACTAGCGTGCCTAACTAGACTTCCTCTGGCCAGTGAGTCGCTCTCTTGTCATCAGTCTGGGACGAACGCCACCGCAGCCGGCAGCCATAACTGCGGAGCGCACCCCAGCGAGCCACATGTGCATTCCAGATGTGCGTTCCACAGCTGCGCGCCCAGCTCCCCTTGCGGGCTGCCCCTTTAGAACGGAGCCGGCAGCTGCTGCTGGCACCGGTGCCGAGCGGGAAGTCCTCTCCCAATGATTTTTTTTCCACTCAGAAGCCTCTTTGCATGGCCCCACCCGCCGGAAGGGCGGTATAGGCTCACCCCCGCTGCCATTAGCCGGTGCAGGAGTCTCCTCCCTCCGGCCCCTTGCATTTGGCGTGGGATTGGCTGTTCCGGCCCCACAGCTGACAAGCCGGAGCTCCTCCCCTGCCAGGCCCGCACCCGATATAACACTGTCCCCCTCCCCTCTCTGCTGCTCATCAGGTGCAGGCAGCGGCTGGGGGAGCAGGCGAAGGAAGAGGGCAGAGCAGAGCAGGAAGGGACTGGCACAGGAAGGAAGGAAGGTGCAGCGCATCCATTCCCCTTTATCCCAGGCCAGGGCCGGCAAAGCCCAGTAGAATGTGAGCGGGAAGAGCGACGCACGCGGATCGGGGGTGCCACAACTACTTCTGCCCCTAGCTCGCTCTTGCCGGGCTTGGCTTGCCCCCCGCTCCGGTCCTCCGCTCGCATTGCCCAGGCGGGGCGCGGGGCGTTTATCTGCTGAGGGCTTGGCGAGCCTCGGCTGCCCTCTGCCCCCACCCTCCCCATCTCTCTCTTCCTAGAGACGCTGCTAGGCGGGGAGGCGATGTTCCCTCTGGACTCCACCTGGAGTATCTCCTTCGCGGGCTGTGGGTTCTTGGGGGTGTACCACATCGGGGTGGCCAGCTGCCTCCAGGAGCATGCCCCCTTCCTGGTAGCCAACGCCAAGACGATCTACGGAGCCTCCGCCGGAGCCTTGACTGCCACGGCCCTGGTCACTGGAGCCTGCTTGGGTGAGGAGTTCATAGCTTTGGGGTGCGCGGTGGTGGGAAGTCAAATAGCCTGTCCCCGCTGCTAGTGCAGGGCAGATCCGGCCTTATGCCTTCCCAGCCCATGTAAAGTTGGGCCGGTGTGTGTGTGTCAACTTGGGGTTGTGACTCGCGCGTGTGTGTCATAAACGGGTGTGTGTGGTGGCGGAGGAGGGGGCGTTCATGAGCCTGCCCGAGATCCTAGCTAGATGGGAGGTGGGCCATGGGATGGAAAAGTTTGAGATCCACTGGACAAGAGAAGGCCGATAAGGGATCCTCTGTTCATCACAGGAACAAAAAATACACTCGAATATGCAAACTATTTTGCCCCCAGGCGATCCCTTTTGCTGGTAAATTCTGTGCTGCATATAAGCAGTTTTGTTTTGTTTTTTAAGGTAGAAGCTCTTTGAACCGGGGACTGACTCTCTTATGGCTCCTCTTCATGGGGAAATCGAACGGCATAACTGTTGTGGAATAAGCTATTTGGGAACAGCTCACCCTGTGGACACTCTATTCTGGAATAAAAGTGACTCAATTTTAGAAGAGAGTGTCCACATGGGATCTCTTTTTCTTAAATTATATGTATCCACCTCTAAGGAATTACTTCTCCTCGATTCTCCCTCCAAAATATCCTTTCAAGTTAGTTTGTTTCTTGTTACATAAGACCATTCAGGAGCACAGACTAAAACCAAAGAGGGACATTTGATCTGAAATGGAAAGTGAAAACACATCCATAAACAACAAGACTGATATGGGTTATGTGGCTAGACTTCAGTGAAGCTGGTTTTAGTGATCACTATGGGCCTGATATAGCCTATGAAAACTTATAAAAGGATGCCTAATGAGTATGGTGGCCCTGTACTGGATGTCAATTTATAGTGTAGTTGATGGGAGTCTTTAATGCAGGGGTGGGCAAACTTTTTGGCCTGAGGGCCACATCTGGGAATAGAAATTGTATGGCGGGCCATGAATGCTCACAAAATTGGGGTTGGGGTGAGGGAGGGGGTGAGGGCTCTGGTTGGGGGTGCTTGGGGTGGGGGCAGCATGCAGAGTAGAGCCCCCTGGCTGCCCCTACATGTAGGAGCCGGAGGGGGGCCATGCTGCTGCTTCCGGGAGCTGCGTGGAGCAGCCCCCAACCCTGCTCCCGGGCTGGAGCGCCGGAGTGGGGAAAGTCCCAGACCCTGCTCCCCAGGGGGCGCTCAGGGGCCAGATTAAAACGGCTGGCGGGCTGGATCCAGCCCACGGGCCGTAGTTTGCCCACCCCTGCTTTAGAGCATGTCTTGCAATGAAACTGTTTTGTACATTGTAATGCAATGATAAAATGTGGAACTTTCATTCGACTTTGTTCTAAAAAGGTACTTTTGTGATAACATTATCATGTTAGGTGGGAACTGCTGTGCGTTCATTGTACTGGACTAGAATTATGGCTGTGTGATGCAGTTTGATCAAAGCCAATTAATACAGGAAATTAAGCATGACATTTTATTTTTTTATAAATCTGCATCATTGTTGGACCACAGTGGCACAGGCTAAGCGAAGATTCAGCTTTTGATTAAGTTCTGTAACTTCAGTGTAGTTAAAAGAAACATACTCATTGCTCGTTGTCACTCTTTTACCACCGTTTGGGGATGGAAACCTACAGCAGATGAGTTCTTAATGGCTTTGTACTGGAAGCAGAAAAGTGACTGGAGAAAAAGTGGGGGCAGCATATAATGTGCTTATGAGTTTGATTATCTGTGTCTCCAAGAAACCGGGAAATCTCTTTAAATAGAGAGGCTGAAAATAAGGGGGACATGTGGGTAATCCCTTTTCTAAACCTGTTCTTTTGCAGTATTCAGCCTTCTGCTTAAATGTTTTCTCTGGAACGTAAAAGGAAATGTAGCTTTACAGAATATCTCCTGCACAGGTCACCAAGTTTTGTTTTGTTTGTGTATGCCATGGACAGCAACTAAGTGAGATCATAGGGGGCCTTGTGGCTGTTCATTCCTGAACTGCTTACGAGACCCTATAATACAAAGTGTTCAGTGATGCTGTCAAGGCTGATTCCCCACTCTGGCACTTCGAGTGCAGGAGGTGGGGGCCCACAAGGATTTTAAAAATTAATACTTGCCACTCCAGGATTGTATTAAACTCCCAAGGTTACAGCTTCTCTCTGACCTTGGCTTGGTAAATGCTGCCACCACCCAAATGCAAAACCCGTTTTGGAACCCAGGAAGACGCGCTTGGGAATTCCTTCCTGTGGGGTACCCTCAAGCCCTTTCACCCACCCCCTTTCGGGGAAGAGCTGAGAAATAAAACAAAGGAAATTAGCTGTTGCTGCCAGCTAATTAAACAACCTATGCACAAACCTCTTAGGACCCCAAAAATCCAATCCTGTTCTTAGAAAATACATCTGGAACTTAGGCTTTTGCTAAATTTTAAAGAGCAATTCCAAAAATTAAGCACCCAAAATAGCTTTCTTGGGGGTTCAGCTTAAAGGTTACAAGCAAACCAAAGCATCTGGGGTTAGCACAGAAGAGTCCATTTAGCCATAAGAAATAAACAGAAATAACCCTAATTGCGTCTTTTTAAACATTCCTGATCTACTTACACATTTGGGAGTTCCAAATAAGTAGTTCTAGGTATGATCTGATTTATGATCATACCTGGCTTAAAGCCTCTCATAGCATAACTGCTCCCTGTTCCCCTCTTTCCTGGAGAAAAACAGACACAAAGGGGAAGTTGTGGGTTTTTTTATTTATTTTGTTGTTTTTTCCCCCATTTTTAAAAGTTCTAGCCTTCCCATTGGCTCTTTTGGCCAGGTGCCCACTCAGTTTCCTTTAACTGGGGGACTTTTTTAACCCTTTACAGGTAAAGCAAGCCGAGAACAGCTAACTGGCAGGCTGGGTGCCTCTCCCCCCCCCCCCCCCTTTCATTTATCATAGATGGAATGTCCAGGAAACTTTAGTCACTTGGTGGACTGGACTGCCAGACCTGTATAGCTAAGAAATGCCCCCATGTGCAATATGCAGCAATATAATGGATTAAAAAATGTTATGTGTAACTAAACTAAGGAGTGTGTGTATGTATATATGTGTGTGTGTATGTATGTGTGTATGTATGTATATATATGGCATGTTTTGTGTTTGGCTGCGAAGAAGGGGTTAACAATGGCTCACAAGCATCTGCCTCTTTATACTGTACTATCCCATTCTAAACCTGGGCACAATAATAAGTGGTTATACTCGCTGTTTGTCGTCCTCTCCTCTCCCTTGAACCCTGGATGTGAGGCCTTTTAAAAGATTCTGTCTATTCTGTGGGACCTGCTGTGGTTTTGGAGTGGGGGTCCTACATGCAATGGATCAGGTCAACTTATGTGGCAAGACCAAACCATGTTTTACCTACATTGGGGACCTAAAGGCCAGTGGCTCTCAGCCTTTCCAGACTACTGTACCCTTTCAGGAGTCTGATTTGTTTTGCATACCCCCAAGTTACACCTCACTTAAAAACTACTTGCTTACAAAATCAGACCTCAAAATACAAAAGTGTGACAGCATGGTATTACTGAAAAAGACTGACTTTCTCATTTTTACCATAGAATTATAAAATAAATAAATTGGAATATAAATATTGTACTTACATGTCCATGTATAGAGCATATAAACAAGTCATTGTCTGTGTGAAATTTTAGTTTGTACTGACTTTGTACCCCTGGTTGAGAACCACTGCTATAGACTGTAACTGGTTTTCTCTCAAATGACTACTTCCACAGTGATGACCAGCCTAGATATAATTGCACCCTATGGGATCTTAAACACTTATTTGTTGGGAGTTTGCCAGAATGTACCTTGGGTGGGGAGTACATGGGCCATCCAAACTGCAGTCTGGGACTGTAGCCTTGCTCCTTGTGCCAGTTGCTCTGGTGAAGGGGGTAGGACTTCTTTAATCTATCACTTCCCATGGAGGAATCAGTCTAGAGAGAGCTGCCACTGACAGGGACTCCCTTGATGCAGCTGCTTCTCTGTCAGCCACAACTTTGTTCAATGGCAGAACAATTAGGCCATGTCTATATGTACAGTGCTGCAGTGGCACAATTGTGCCAATATAGCTCTGCCGCTGCAGTGCGTGAGGTGAAGATGCTCTATGCTGATGGGAGAGAGCTCTCCCATGGGCATAACACCTCCACAAGCAGCAGAAGCTATATCGGCTGGAGAAGCTCTCCTGCCAACATAGCGCTGTGCACACAAGCTCTTAATGTCAGTGTAACTTATGTCACTCAGGGGAGTGGTTTATAAGTTATGCCGACATAGGCTGTAGGGTAGACATAACCTTAGTTTCTAATCGGAGAATCCCATTGCCACCCTGTTCTGTGGGAGAACTGGTGTAAACAAGAGACTGGGTGCCAGGAACTCCTGAGTACTGCTTCTGGCTCGGACACAGATTCCCTTCGTAGCCTCAAGCAAGTCACTTATCCTGTCTATCTCTATTACTACTGTTTGTATTCCGGTAGCACCTACAGTATGCCAGGTGCTGTCTGCCCACAGTCCCTGCCCCCAAAGAATTCACAATCAGGGACTTCTATAAACTAGGATTAATAATATTTATTTGCCTATATCCTGGGGGGGTATTGGGGAATAAGTGCTGAGGAGAGACAAGCCTAAAACCGGATCCTCAGCTGGTGTGAATCAACACAACTCCATTGAAGTCCATGAAGCCAAGTTGATTTATGCCTGCAGAGGATTCAGTACCTAGATCCAAACCCTTCTGTGTTCTGTAGGGTGGTTTGAAATCTGATCTGAACTTGGCATCTCCAGTCTATTTCTGTAGCTGTGTGTGGAGCTCTGTAGGTAGCTGGCACCTGTCATTTTCTGTTAATGGGATGACAGAAGAGTCAACAGAATGCAAGGTGGCTGATTCTGGTTTGCCACTGAAAGTAAAAGTGGCCTTGGTGCCCGGATGAGGCATGTCCAACAGTCCCTGCACCTCATCCCTGTTGTAAACACTTG